TCCCCCCCCCCCATCTGTCTGTCCCTGGACATCCCCCCATCTGTCCGTCTTTCCCTCTACACACACCCCTGTCCGTATTTGACATTTCCCTCGGTCTGTCTAGTCCTGTACACCCCCCATTTGTCTACTGGGCTGGGAGTCAGCTGTCAGCTCCTATCAGCTCAGCAGGGGGTGCTGTGGGGCAGGGAGAAGGGCGGGGGCTCAGCAGGGGGCGCTGTGGGGCAGGGAGCAGGGCGGGGGCTCAGCAGGGGGTGCTGTAGGGCAGGGAGCAGAGTAGAGGTGCAGCAAGAGGTACTGTTCCTGACGGGTCGGTGCTGGCCCCAGTGTGGTGCTAGACAGAGTTGTGGTGCAGGGATTGGGGAGAGTAGAGAGCAGAGTGCCCCCTCCTGACTCACAGCATTTACCCCCCACTTCAGTCTGCCTCCCTCAATTGCCCCTCCTGCAGATTGGGCTGGATTCCCTGCTCGCCTGGTCTGCTGTGTTGCTGCTAAGCCCAGTCCCATATGTCGCTACCGCTGTGCAGGCTGCTACACGTCTGCTGTGCCTCTCCCCAGACATAGCTGCATTTCAGCACTGGGTGAGCTATCCTGCACAGAGTTGCTGTGTGACTGAAGAGGGAAGCATGGAGTGGGTGAGGGGATGGGAGAGGGGTGTGGATGCAGGAATGAAGTGGGGGAGAAGGAGAGATGGGGTGGGAGATGGAGAGAGGGGTATAGATGGGGGCAGATTGTCTGGTAGCAGTGTGCAGGCTCTCCAACCTAGACCAGGCCAAACTCCCCCGCCCTTCCCTGAGGAGGCCACTATCCAAACCAGATGGAACAAGGGGAGGGGCTCATCATACCACTGACAGGCAGGCGCCCGGCAGCCAGGGGAGAGAGAAGGAGAGATGGGGTGGGAGATGGAGAGAGGGGTATAGATGGGGGCAGATTGTCTGGTAGCAGTGTGCAGGCTCTCCAACCTAGACCAGGCCAAACTCCCCCGCCCTTCCCTGAGGAGGCCACTATCCAAACCAGATGGAACAAGGGGAGGGGCTCATCATACCACTGACAGGCAGGCGCCCGGCAGCCAGGGGAGACAA